CGTCACACCACGGTAAGGTCCAGTCTCTTCGTGACGGGGTTAAGTACCAGTTCTCTCATCTGTTGTTGCTGTCAGTGATGACGATGGAGTCAAGATATGGAAACTAGTCTCTGAACCCACCGACCAAGCAATTCTTAGGAGGGATCACTAGTGAGCCAAATGTCAACGCTGAATCCGTGACCTAGCCAATTGCCCACTGTCAGAGCGAAAACTTCCGAAAAGCCTCCGCGAAAAATATGACACCACTCAACGTTATGGATAGATGTGCTGTGGCACGGTCGAAATTCCAGTATAGGATACACCGGGGGGTGCTGAGTCTGTGACGCGATTCGGTGTCCAATATCGAGATGGCAATCGACAACACAGAATGGTGTCAACCTTTCAATGACGTAATGTTCGCGACACAATTAGTCTGATTTACTCGAGTAAATAAAGTAGACCCAGCACTATGTTACATTGGGTAGATATGACCCGGGTGATAAGTCACTCGGAAAAAGGCCAAGGGTTTTCAAGTGGTATACCACTTTGGTATAAAAAGGCATAATCGTTCAGCTGCAACACCCTTTCGGTGCCGAGCTGTCATACTACCCGAAGAAAGCACGAGGGCTGGATACTGCTAGGTTGCACAGGCCTAGACAGCAGAATCGGGGATGCAGGGGTCGGGTCCGAACCGACTTCCCGGTCAGTAGATTCGCGCTCTAACGCTTTAATGTCCAACACTGAGAACGTGACCATCATCCGACTATGCAAGAATCCTTTCATTCCCGGGTCACGGTTTCACTAATTGATACACAGCACCGACTCTTTTGACCGGGTGGGGTTTGTTCTTGTCGTTCAGCGGCTTTCGTTCACTTTAAGAGCACGGGCAAAAATGGTACAGCATCGCTCTCTACGTTCTCAGCACGGGGCAGTACGCTTGCCAGCGCGAGGACTCGCAAAAAAGCGTCCAGAAATGCTTTAATTCGAGTACTGGATGCAGTATGAACAACCATCGGAGGGGGGTATTACACTCACCAATTACCCGAAATGGGAAAACTGTTGCCTAATAAGCTGGTAAGATTACTGCCCAAAGGTACTACACCGTTTTTCTATTGTGCCTTCCGGGTGGACGGAAGCATCTAAACGACAAGAACAAACCCGACCCGGGATGCTTGGGTAGAAACCCTAATCCTGTTTACCCATGCGTTATTCCGTGATCACTGTTCAACATAGAGAAGCATGTGAGGGAAATGAAATGTCTGGCCTATCAAATCCTCCAAGGTCTCATCCGTAATTCTTTCGATATCGGCGAAAGTTTTAGATACGGAACTCTCACAAGGGGCGGACAAACTGAAACGAAACGTCATCACATAGCATTTAGTTCCGCTTGGGCTTGTGGAAAGGATGGCTTTATTGGGTGTATTCTGCCAGGTTTGTAAGGGTTTACCAATATACACAGAAAAGGGGCACATTTATCCAAAATACTGGATTCGAGGAATGAGAGTCCTGGAACCAGTGGGTAACTTCCAATGCCTGCTCCACCCCAGGGTTGCGGACTTACGGTCTGGACCGGGCTACGAGCATGTGAAGGCCCTGTCAAGATAGTATGAAACCCGATGTAGAGCCACATTTATTCATTCCTCGCTCGTTTCTCGTGCAGTCCAGGTCCCTATGAAGTGATGTTGAATGTGTCTGACGATTTATCAAGCACGGAGGCGATGGTGCACATGGTGTCGACGCCAAGTTCTTCGCAGCCTAGAACGCTATCAGGTGAAATTTTATTGTCATTTCATTTCTTGAAAATCTGCAAGACGAATCTGTGGACGAACGCGATATAACAAGATGGGTGCTAGTGTACTAGTATGGCATCGAATGCCGTTCGTTCGTGGAATTTCAGTCGAAAGTACGAGAATTCCAGCGGGGAACAGACACATTTTTCGCCCACCGACGTATACGTAGTTTCCGGCGTCTACACATGAACAGAAGTCCGGTGAGTTGCATTCGAGATATGCCAGTATGTTGATTTTCACGTAATTGTCCAATGCACTTGGGTACATGTACGCAGATTTCAATTGGCGGTCGTTCATGCATGTGGTTCACTGAAACGGTCGCCTCGCTAGTTTCAGCGTGCAGCATTCGCAAGACCTGCAAGTCAGACTACCAATAGACGGAAAACACGGTTATTCGACGGTTATGTTGATGCAAATGACCACCTGTTAACCACGAGAGGTGGTTAACAAGCGGTAATGTAACCGTCATATAACCGAAAAACTCGGTTATTTTGGATTGCATGTGCTGCCAAGAGTATGCCGGCAGTCGGCATGCGAATTTTTCTAAATTGCCGGCCCGTGATGAATCGCCGCTGCGTCTGTAAACCTGCAATCATCCCCATCCCTATTTCTGAACGCTACCGCCACTGAGGTTTCAGCTAATCAGAATGGGGATCACGCCACAAGAGAAGCGATTGCCGCTTGCACAATGTTAGCATGGAGGCCACCGGGCCGTATAATGCCTCCAGCTGCAAAACCTTTGCGTAAAAGTTTTTGCGCCAAAATGTTGCATTTTGTTGCGCACGTGCTCAAAAAAAAATTACCCCAGTCTACATCCATTTTTCCGCACCTGACTAAATTTCACTGCCCACCGAAACAACCAACTCTGGCGGAAAAATTCTGGTGGAATACTTTCCTAGGATCATTCAAACCCGGGATACCTAAATTGGGCTCAAATGTGTGAACTGGTATCCTGAACTCAATTGATTGTCTGTTTTAGTCTATCAGAGATACGTCGTAGCTTCCGAAAACTCAATCCCATTGTGCAAATACTGAGCGCCGTCAGCGTGTGGCCACATCCGAAATTTGCGCCTCCTGTGACCAGCATTAGGTTGATGTAACTGTATGCAGATGCATATCCAAAGTTTTGGCTTCGAACACATTGCTCTAAGTGGATGACGGAGCTCTATTCCAGCTTCGTTCCGTGGCTCTTTGTGTATATTACGCATCAGGGTGCTAGGTTTTCGAGTCATTTACGGTGAGACGTTCCGGGCTAAATTACTGTCCACAAGTAAATGGCCTCGTCTGAACGACCCCAAGAAACGGTAATTTCGTAAATAAGTTCTTCTCTGAACTGTGATGTTCTGGTGCTGGTAGCACATCGCTTACTAAGAACTGTCTAACTCGCGGCAAATTTCACCGTTTTGAATCTCTCTTCGTTACGTGGTGGTTACTAACAACTAAGCCGTGCTTTTTGTGGTTTCTACTCGCACCTCACTTAGTTTTTGCCTGACAAGTGTAACGTTGGTGCTCTAGGTTTCGCGCGAACACCTTACGTTTAGTTCTCCGGGCAGTTATCGCCGGTTCCGCCTGTTTCAGTTGCAGCACTTGTACTCACACAAGTTTCACTTGCATTATCTGTCTTTATCTGCCTGGTTTGCCGAAGTGGGTCACCAACATTGGTGCAGCATTTTATGACCATTGCATCCGTGCTACTATCTCGGAATTCGGTCATTCGGTAGCAAGGAACCCCAGGAGAGTTAGCACCCATGTCCGTGCTGCGCGCACTGGTAACTAACAGGCTGAAAACCCCATCCTTACAATGTCAACACGGGGGGGGTCATCACGCACCCTTTCGCTACGCCTAAGCTTGGCAGTAAGCAGTCACTACTGTTGCTCGCGAGGATGCGCCCGGCACCAGGTGAGGAACAATCGATGACATTCTGCTCCGACGGGCGTGAAAACAAAGAACGCCGGTGAACTAGAAGCCTCCTGGCAGTTATCAAACGTCCGCCGCCATTCGCAACGGTGAAGTTAGCGGGCACATCCACCAAGCCCCATCAGGATTGCGTCAGCCAACAGCTCACACGCGCCCTTAAATCAGTGGTGCACCCAAGTTTCCATGCTCCCCCAGGAATAATTGTGGCTCTTCACCGAAATTCTCGTTACCACCTCTGGGGTTCAGGCGGGACGTCGATATCAACCGCCGCTCAAGGCACGCTGCGGTGGTTTCCCAAGATGTTAACCACGACAGGGAGCTCACCATAATCAGCTGATCGACAACCGTTAATTCAAACGTCCCCGTCTTTGTAATTCCGGATCCAATCACTTTTACGGGACTTTTCCACACGTTTCCAAAACCCTTTCGGCCGCCGAATGCGTTGCCCATGCATACCAGCCATGGCACGCATAATACCCCGACCATTCTCCTTCCGGCTTTATGCAAACTAAGGTGGCTAGCGCCGGATATGCTGACCGTGGGTAATGTCGAATTGAGCCCACTCTTCAGCTTGCTCTCAAATGGCTGTTGGAACTTCCCTCAGTATCACCTGCAAACAGACAATGATGTGTTGGATTTCACGCCCTAAAATCTATCGAAAGCTTCGTTCGGTAACCAAATTCTCAAGCCCAGTATTTGGCTGTCGGCTTGTAATGCCCCAAATTATTCCGGAAGATCGATTTGGCACACGCCGGTTGCCCTGTTCCTGCTTCCGACCCTGATTGACCAAGGAATATCGCCGATATGGTATTTAGCTTCTTCGAGTTTTTTGAAACATCAATCGCTCTCGGTGTCGCCGCTCAGATACTACACTACTTTTCAAGTCTTTGGCCAAGAGGAAGTCTACACCCAATTGTACGCAATCATGGCCAACGTCCGACGGGTTATCATCACTTCGTTTGAAGAATCCCTTCCGGGCGTCCGCTGCAGCGTGCAGCGAGTAACACCATGACCACCTGTTCATCCAGTTCTGACGGGATGCTTTTGGGTCACAAGTTGTCCACCAAGAGTAAGGGGGCAGTCACGGCGAGATATATGAAACATTTGACCTGCCTGGCCTCTTTTTCCGAAGGCTACGGTTCTCCAAACGTTTGGTGCGTCGCTGGCGGTGTTTTATTTAACACCGAGCGCGACTTTTGCAGTATTCCACCGACTTAAATTCAGAAAAATCCAAAAACTTTTAATTCATCGAATCTCAGTGACGGGCAGTTGTGGAGGTACATTCGGCGACCCGCTAAGATATCACCGCCAGTTGCTACTTGCTACTGATGCTTTTGGTGTTATAGTGAATAATATCAAAACAATGAACATGAACAACGTGGAACTTGCTGGCTTTTTGGTCGAAGGATATACTGACACTCCAATCAAGACACTTCACCGTTCATGGTGAGCTATCGACTGCCCAGGTTGGTATGGGAGGCGTTTTCTAGACTACCTCAGATCTCAAATTAACCTTTTCACGAATTGGAAGCCACTGACTCATGCTTCACGCCCGACTGCCGATGGGCATTCTTCCACAGGGCCGTGTCTAATAGACTCGGCACAACTCACCAGCAATATAAATAGAACGTTCCGGATTACTCAAACACCGTTACCTTCCCCCTCTAACAAGAATACAGGTTGAAGGTAGTACTGGCGATGATCTTTGGATCGTGGCGACCACCCAAGTATCCGACGCAAAATCTCACATACTTCACCAATCGCCCCGTTTACAAATGACCGTCAAGATCAATTTGGGGTTCACCCAGCGGCATCACATCACCGGTCCACAAATCTACTGGGCGCCTGGATTTCAGTTGCATATTCTTTGTCCTCGTGCACCATCTCACGCATCTGGGGATGCTTGCATTTTGTAAGGCCAGGCTGATTCTCAGGCGGAAGACAATCTACGACATCCGACACTGAGCTTTAACTTTTCCACGATACCGTAGCAGAAAAGTGCGTTGGCGAAAAAAAGCCATTTGGTCGATTCCCCTGAAGCTCACCACTAACGCGTACACTTTGACCCGACATGG